ACTGAATCCTACACACTGGTCCTTTAAAAAGAAGTAAATAGTATTTGGACTATTTTTACATGTGGAAATACACACATTAGGTGCTCTAGTGAGTATTTTGGGCAGCAGGTTGGTGTGTGTGGGACTGAGTTAAAATAAACTAAAGTGTGTGTGTTCATGGTAATGAAGGGACATGTCAGCCAGCGCAACAATGGAGCACTATGGCACAGAGGAAGACGATATATCAGGCTTTGATACACACACAATACTTGTTAGTAGCTACATTCATTACTTTTGGCATTTCATTGGATTTGTTGACAATAAGAAAAATATGGAATATCAGCTGACTTATTATTTAAGTGCTGGTGCTGAACATGGCATAACAACATGTTCTGTATGCAGCCAGAGGTGATGAAAACAGGCCAAGCAAGCTAGGCAATATAGACAGACTTTCACTGCTTGAGGACATTTTTCTTGTAGTTAACTTTTCCTTGACCTTACAGAGACCGTCGACAGCACAAAGCAGAACAACTGAGATAATGGTCTGTTTTTCCCCCTCGTCGCTCCACTGAAACCCCCCATCCCCGTCCCCATCCAGAGCCAGCCAAGCTTCCCCAGACCGTGGCAGTGTGGTTCTTCTAAATGAGTTTAGCCTTTATTAGTCTGTCAGAGGGAAAAAAACATTGTTTCCCCCAGTAGCAGGTTGAGATATTATTCATCTATAATTGGTAATAACCCCGTACCCCCACCCTGAGGCGGCTCAATCTCCACTGAGTAATCACTGCCATCGCCTGCCCCGCTGGAAACAGCATTATTAGGTCGATGGCACTGTCTCTACCTCTGCTGTCTGCCAAGGTTTATTATGTGACAATATATGGCTTTACTCCTGCGCTTCTTTACAAACTAGAGGCTGTGGAGGGAGAATCTGGCTGAGAAAATGTATCTCACATCCCGAGCTGCAATCAAATATCTCAGCATCCTGGGCAGTGGCTGAGGCGTTATCAGTTTTTGTGACAGCGAGGTTTGCTCTGTTGTGCAAAACACCTTTCACTTTTCAATATTTAACTGTCAGCTCAACTATTTCACCGGTTCAAGTGACTGCCTCACGTTTTTTTCTTTGTATTACTGAATTGAAAATCTACACAACGGAGCTGAAAGTGACACAATAAGGTCTGCAACTAACAATTATTTTTACTTTTTGTCAATGGAATGTCAGAGGAGATTGAAAAATACCCATTATAACTTCACAGAGCCAAAGGCGACGTACCAATTATTCTCTCCATGAATTGCTTTGTCATAAAATGTCATAATTTCCTACAGCCCAAGGAGGTGTGTTCAGGTTATTTTATCTGACCAAAGATACTCAGGTTATTATAATAAATGGCAAAGAAACGCATGACATCTAAAAAGCTGGAACCAGAAAAATTTATTTTGTCGAGAATGTAATGAACGTGATTGTCCATCCACTCATCGATTACTAATAATTGTCTTAACTCAAGAAGTGCAGTTCGTGGTGCATTCGTGTACAGTAATAATAGAAAAAGTACTGCTTCCCAAATAAGGTTTTAGTGTAGGATTATGGATCTTAGACAAATACAAACACTGTAAATTCAGAGCTTTTGGGAAATACCCCTGAACAAAACACTTACCATCTCAAGATTAGCTTCATGTCATTGATTTACATCATCCATTTACATCATATTTTGTATTGTATTCACCTAGAAACACTTCCTCTCGTTCTTTCTGCACTTTTTCTGTCACAATCCTTCCAAACCGAAAATATTTAATATTTTAAATTTGGGAAGCAACAGAGCAACTGAGTAACAGAAAGACAGAGGGAATAAGTGACCTTGCTGCTGCTTGGAGCAGACTAATATTTCATCAGCTACCACTCAGGGCACACCTGCCTCGCAGCTTTACTCAGGTTCACACATCTGCCAACGGCTCTGTGCTTCATCCCTGCGAGGAGGCGTCAGGGGAGGGAAGGGAGAGAGAAAGAGGGAAATAAAAGACAGAAAGGAAGAAAAACAAGAAAGTCTTGTGTGGTTAGTTAGAGACTCTGGTGTGTTTCAGGGAAAGTGTAGGTGGCTTTGAACCACAAGAAAGAAAGAAATGATATTGGTGACAAAGAGGGGAAAAGCAAGAGAGTGATGGGAAGAAATGATAAGACTCTAATGGTAAACCACCCACTGAATTGTATATTTTAGCTTGGGACTACCCCTTTGTCAAGTCGGGCAAGCTGACGACAGTAGATCAACAGCACCAGAATATAAGTGAACTATACAAAGTTAGTGGGGAAGGAAGGGGCATCATGTGCTGAGAGGAGAAGTGAAACCATACCAGTGGATATTCCCAGCATGCTGAACCATTCAACAATTCAGATGAAGTCATTCACTTCTCTACACGGACATGCCACGAACCACAAGCAGCTACACCATGCTAACGAATGTTGTCAGCGCAACTGTTGTAAAGCAAACTGTCTCGCACCAAAGTGTGAATGTGTGTGTGTGTGAGGGAGTGTGTGGATAATTTTGACTACATGAGGTCACAGACGTCAACCACATGATAGATATGTTGACTGCACCATGGTGACGACAGTGATGGTACAAATATTTGTTAGTAGTCAGGAAGCAGAATTAGATTCCCCTTCAGATCAACCTCTTGGTGCTTGGTCTATTTTTAGTACTTACTGCATCTCTATAAATTGATGTTTGAATAATTACATTTTGTACTTATTATTTTCTCATTATCGCTCTGTGTTAGCTATACAGAGGCTTTCCTGAGGACCTCTGGATTCACACAGAAGCAACAAGACTTGAGAGTCTACAGTTTTGCGAGCAGCTCTGTGAGGCTGAACTAGGGCACAGCAGTGCTTTTAGCTGAATGCTAACATCAGCAGACTTATCATAATGGGAATGCCAACATGCTGAGGTTTAGCAGATCAACATCTTGGGTTTGCATGCAACATTTGCTAATTAGCACTAAACACAAAGCAGAGACGAGGCTGAATTTTTTTTTAAAACAACAAACAAAGTTAGAGTCCTTAGAAAGTAACCAGAAGGGAATATTAATATGTGTACAAACTTTCATGACAAAACATCCGACAATGAGACATTTCCCTCCAAACCAAAAATGTCATAGTGGCGCTACAAGAAAGGTCAGGGGACGATCAAAGTCATTAGGATCATCCTCTGGGGAACATGAATTCACCGTACTAAATTTGAATGGCAATCCATTCAAGGTGGAAGAGTGACAGGCTGACAGCACAGCATTACCACCCTTAGTGAGGACGCTAAAATGGCTAAAAACATCAGCAGCAGAAATGGGGTAGTACTGTCCTGACGATACCAGGAAGATGCTGCAACAAAGGATCAACTGACATCAGTATGTTGCAAGGCTTTAGACTTCCTCACATCCTGTCACTTATCTCCATAACCTCACGGCCGCTGCCCCCCTCTCCTCTGTGCCGTATCCAGGTTTCAGTCCCACACTGAAATAAATACAATCATTTCATGTCTGCGGTGCAAACAACACAAAGCCACTTTCTGCCCAGTGGGATTTCAGGCTCCCTGTTCGGCCACTGGGATGTCAGTTTCCATAGGATTGACCTCCGACCTGGCGTTATATACCGCTGGAGAAAATATATAAACAACCCCTCCCCTCTCCTTCGTACCATCAAATGGCCGCCACAAAGGAAAAGAGCTGACCTTAGCTGCCCTGGAAACAGAAACACACAAACACGCACGAGCATTGTCAGTACCAGGACGGCCCACTCTCCAGCTAACCCCAGAAAAAAACCCTGAGCTTTCATCTGCATGCAGCTGCCTTGGTGAAGACCACAACAGAACGGGCAGTGGAGAGAAAATGGACAGATAGTGGAAGAAGGAAAAAAAAAAAATACAGCACAGAGCCAATCAACTGACCAGAGTAAAACAAAGGGCTATCTGTAAAAGCCCCGGACTTCATCCCACCCTGTGATGAGAGAACTTCGATCCCCAGGCAGGCGGGCTGCAAAGAGCTACAAAGCCCTGATGTAGCCTGTTAAGCTCCCACTTCGATTCAGCTCATTGAGTTCCATGCTGCTGATCAATTAGAGAACAGCTGAACCAGCTGCTGACCACACAAACACTCTGTTTTTACCGTTTTTAAGCACAGATGGGGTTTTTTATAGGCTGTGTGTATGCTGCCTGTTATCTAGGTCTTCTATATTATATCTTATCTAAAGTCTTTTCTCCTCGGCTGGTGGCAGAGCCAACCCCACCCCCTGTGCCATGTCACAATCTGCTGGAGGCCAGCCAATACAGTCCAAATCTGGATTTTGGGCCGAATCAAAGATAGACTAAAAAAGATTGGACCAATTAATTCATGGAACTCTTCCTTAGACAAGTTTACATATTGTAAACAATGCAATTGAGTTGTAAGTACGTTAAAGTGTTATTTTATAATTAGGTAATCTTTTGGCTTCTGTTTATAACTTCAGATGAAAGGTTTTAATCACCATTTTGAAACCAGGCTATTTAAAGTCTGGCTGTTGTCTACAGGGCATTTCAAAATTGAGAAAAAAGGTCGCAATTATTATTATTATATTATTTTTTGGCCAGATCACTAAGCCCTAACTGGAGGTTGGGCCACTGTTCAGATGAAGCACAGCTAGCCAACAGGCACATGATGCACACAACGTACTAAAACACTCGTGAAGTATTTACCAGAGACAAAGAATCATCATCAGAAAGGGCACATACAACCAAACACAACGTCATATCAACAAAAGCTGATAGCGTCCACATTTTCCAGAACATGTTGGAAAAATAAAGACAGGATTTATCCTGATTTTCCAACAGACTGCTGTTAAGTGTTGCTGCCAGCGGAGGTGTGCAGGAAAAGTGTCAACAAGGACATTTTCCACACGGGTGCTTACCTTACCTATGAAAGGGCAAGCAAACAGCATCATACTGTAAGCACTTACATACACTCTTCTGTGTGTGTGTGTGTGTGTGTGTGTGTGTGTGTGAGGGACTCACCCATCCTCCTTGGCTCTGGATCCAGGGCTGAATGTGGTTGTCCAGGTAGACCGTCATCCACTCTATGATCCTGCCCACCAGCGGACTCATCTCCTTCTCCACGCATTCTACGCACAGCGCCCCGCCGAAAGCAAAAAGCCCCACTATGCGGCCCCAGTTGACTCCGTCCCGAAACACCTCGTCCATCACGTTCTCAAAGCTTTGGTAGGCCGTGGCCGGCGTGATGTGCAGCTGGTTGTGCAGGTCGCTGAAGGCGCGGGCGTACCGCAGTTCAAACTCGTTGGCCGAGTCCCGCAGGGCTTCTTTCACTGCGTCCAGGCTTGTCGTTGATGGCAACCGTTCCTGCCGCTGTGGGGACGCCGGTGGGGTCCCGGGACTCGTGCCGTTAAAAGTCCCGTTGGCGTGCGTCGCTACCTGCTGTTCCTCCCCCAACCCCGCCTCCCCCCCATCAGTCCTGTTTGGAGGCTCTGTTTGGAGTCCCATGTGGTTGAGAGGATAGTTTCTCTGGGATAGTTTATAGTTTATGTAGTAAGCCACCAGTTCTCTGTTTTGAGACATTTTCGGGTTTAAATATGCTTTTTCCTCTTTGCTCCGGGCCGTCTCTGCTCCTCTCTCGGTTGAGCCTTGCTGTGTTAGAGTGAACACACTGAGCCAGGCTTTTTCCTGCGTTTCCTCTCTTTAGAACACCATGGTCAGCTGATGTCCAGAGGACACTTGGGGGGTGAAAACCAAACCTACACAAGGCTGACAAATCAGCTCAGGCCCTGTGGAGAGACAACAATGAAAGGTCAAAGTCTGGATAGCCTACAGAGTGATGTGATTATATATGTGTGTGTGTGTGTGAGGAAAGAGGAGTGTACGGGGATGGCTGTAGACTTTCAAATTAAATTTGGACAGGTAGGGTCAAAGTGCATCTCTCTAATTGGGCTGTTACATATGGAACAGATGGCAATGATATTAATGAGACAATAGTAGAGCGAATGTGTGTGTATGTGTGTGAGAGA